AGCCCCACGTTGGACTCTGTGCTGACAGCCTGGAGCCTGTTTGGGATTCTCTCTCTCCCTCTCTCTCTGCCCCTCCCCTGCTCATGCTTCTCTCTCTCTCTCTCTCAAAATAAATAAATAATCTTAAAAAAACAAGATTTTAAGCAGTCCTGTTAGGCACTACTCTGCCCCTGGGATTCCCTCCCCTTTGGCTGCCCTCCCGCTGCTTTTGGAAGTATCATCTAGCAGTAAGAGGAGTGGAGGTGGAAGAGCTGAGATACTCATTCATAGGCCTCTGGGGCCCAAGGTCTCAGCGTGGAACCCTTTGCCTGCCCTATCACTGCCTACTCACTGCCTTTACGGCTCAAGTTGAGGTCCTGGTCTCTCTTGTTGCAGTCAGAATTCAGGGAGGCTCCTTGGCTGACCAGCTCCTGTTGGCCATGGGCTCCTTGTTTCTCCAGCCAGGAGGTCTCCCCCTGGCCCCACAGCAGGGTCACCCCACAGTGGCCTCTGGCTGTCATCTCAGCATCTGCATCATGCAGGAATCACAGGAGATACAGAGTATGAACTACGCCCACTTGCCCCTGGATCATACTCACCCATACTCTCAACCCTCCAGCCCTCCCCATGTTACAGGGCCAGCCATCCTGCGCTCGGCTTATCGGGATGTTTCCATGGGCAAGCCACCTCCACCCCTCACTCCCCCACACGCACACACACACACCTTCTTTTCCACCTCCATCTTCGGATGCTCCCGTGGCAGATGGCATCCCCTACACAGTGGTAGAAACACCACGATCTGTCCACCAGATGGCTGTGTTAAATGGGAGCTCAAGCAATTTTGCAAGTCTTCTCTTCACAAATCTTGGCAGCTGAGCTGACTGTCCTCTTTATTCTCTGTTCCCTTTTCCTTCTCTGGCGCTGTGTGACAGGTCCCCTGACCCAGGCTCTGGGCAAGGAGACTCCAAGTGGAGCATGGTTTAAAGGCAGCAGGATGGGGTGGGAGGGATCAAGATACATAGCTTCATATTTGCCTTATTTTCTTCCTCAGGCAGCCATGCCTCTCCCAGGCCTACCATAGCTAAAGGAATCATTGTCCTTCAAGGCATTTTCCTTTGTTTCATTCATGCATGTATTCATTCAACAACTGTGATTGAGCACCTGACATGCAGGCACTGTGCCGAGAACCAGGTCAGTAGCTGCCTCACGGACGTAATGTAAATACACTTGAACTCTTTGAACGACATGGGGTTAAACTGTGCAGGTCCACTTATATGTGGGTTTTTCCACATATGTTTTCTCTTCCTTATAATGTTCTTATTAGCATGTTCTTTTCTCTAGCTTAGTTAATTGTAAGAATACAGTAGATAACATACAAAATGTGCATTGACTCTTTACATTATCATTCAGACTCCCAGTCCACAGTATGCTATTAGTAGTTAAGTTTTGGGGGAATCAAAAGTTATACATGGATTTTCAACTGCATGGGAGGTCAGCCCATGTTCAAGTGTCAACTGTATTCTCCTCATGTGAAAAGATGCTCAACGTCATTAGCCATGAGGGAAATGTGGATTAAAACTACAATGTGATACTATTTCACATCCGCTAGAACGGCTGCAATCAAAAGATGGTTAATAACAAATGTTGGCAAAGATGTGGGGGAATTGGAGCCCTCTTCCATTGCTGATGGAAATGTAAAATTGGTATAGCCACTTTGGAAACCAGTTTGACAGTTCCTCGAGTGGTCACCCATAGGGTTACCATATGAAAGTACAATCCCACTCCTAGGGATATACCCAAGAGAAATGAAACATACGTTCATACAGAAACATGTACACTAATGTTCATAGCAGCACTATTCATAAAGCCAAAAGGTAGAAACAACACAAATGGCCTTCAAATGATGAATAGAGAAACAAAATGTGGTATGTCCATATGATGGAATATTATGGGGCTGTAAAAAGGAAGGAAGTACTGATAACATGCTATGACATGAGTGAACCTTGAAGACGTTATGCTGTGTGAAAAAAGCTGCCATGCAGTACTATATTTTGTGTGATTCATTTGTATGAAGTGTCCAGAGTAGGCAAATCCATACAGGCATAAAGTAGATTGGTGGTTGCCAGGGGCTGGGAGGAGGTAGAATGGCGAGTGATTGCTTCATAGGAGTGGGTTATTTTTAGTGTGGTGAGTGTCCTGAAATTATTTAATGGCAATAGTTGCACAACTCTGTGAATATAGTGAAAGCCATTGCATCGAACACTTGAAGTGAGTAAATTGTGTGGTATGTAAATTATATCTCAAGAAAGCTGTTAAAAGATGTTCTCATCTCTCTAACTGAATGTCTTTTCCAGTTCCTTAGCTCTCCTAGGACAAATATGAATACAACTTCCAGTTATTTTAGGACTTTTTCCAACACACTTTTTAGATCCAGTGTTAGGTAGCTAGACATCTATTTAATGATTTTTATTTATTTTTTAGGTTGATTTGTTTTTAGAGGGAAAGAGAGAGAGAGCACAGGCAGGAGAGAGGGGCAGAGGGAGAGTAGGAGAGGGAGAGGGAGAGGCAAAGAGAGAGAGAGAGGGAGAGAGAGAAAGAATCTTAAGCAGGCTCCATGCTCAGCATGGAGCCCAACTCGGGGCTCAAGTCCACAACCATGAGATAATGACCTGAGCTATAGTCAAGGGTCAGACCCTCAAGTGACTGAGCCACCCAGGTGCCCCTATTTAATGATTTTTAAACTGTTATTTCCCATTAGAAAGTAAGCTCCAAGAGAGCAGGAACTTTTGTTTTGTTGGTTGTTATATCCACCATGTTTAACCTGTTCCGTGTCATGGAACTCACATACCAAATGGACACAGAATCCCAGCTAGGCATGAGATGACTGCTATAGGCATCATTCACTCAGGACATGTCTACTGCAGCCTCATGGTGTATGGAGTGAATGAATGAAACACACATGTCTCTGCCCTGGGGGAACTTACAGCAAAGGAAACCTGTCCTGAGCAGGTCTAGCACTTTGATCAAATCTGAAAACAAGTAATATCTAACATTCACTGAAGGTTTACATACACAGAAAGTGGGGATTTTGTTAAAGTTGCCCTTACTGGGGCTTTGTGGGCATTTAGGCTGAGCTGAGACAGTCATGCAAAGAAAAAGAAGACAGATTCTAAAGGATTGGGGGTGAGTGAGAAGAAGGTCAGGCGAGACAAAAAGAAAACGGCATTTTCCAGTACATTTGCTGGTTCCAAGGAGCAATTCCAAGCTGTGATTTTAAGTTCTTGTTGAGGTGGAGGGTAGTATCGAGAAAGGGGAAAGTGCCAAGTACCATCCTTCATGTCCAGTGTCGGGAAGTCTTCGAGAAGAGATATGAAGGGAAAGAGTGACTCAGTGGCTGGGAGGGGAGGGAACAAGGGTGTTTCAAAGGGATGGGGAAGATTTCATTACCGTACAACAGCCTTCTTCACAATGGAAAATTATGGGAAGGATAACCAAGGGGTCAAGATAGAGGGCGAGAAGATATACAATGATGACACAGTTGGGAACCCGAGAGGCGGGCTTGTAGATACGCAGCCCACGGTGGGTGATGGAGGTCTTGGGGTCAAAAATTAAAGCAAGAAAACTCATCCAGTTGACTTTTCCTACACATACAACCTCCTCATTCCACCTCTGTCTTGCCCCATGTTTTCTTTTTTCTTTTTTAAAATTTTTTAATGTTTATTATTTTTGAGAGAGAGAGAAAGAGAGCAAGCAGGGAAGGGGCAGAGAGAGAGGGAGACAGAATCGGAAGCAGGCTCCAGGCTCTGAGAGGTCAGCACAGAGCCGGATGCAGGGCTCGAACTCACAGACCGTGACATCATGACCTGAGCTGTAGTCGGCCACCCAACCGACTGAGCCACCCAGGTGCCCCGACCCCCATGTTTTCATTTTAATACACAGGGTTTCTAGAAAACCTGTAATGAGAAGGAGATGTGAAACAGGGCTAGGAACTGACTGAGACATGAACATGGCTCTTGCACAAGGCAAGGCAGGGTCAGAGAGTTTAGACACTTCAAGAGATGGGAGGAGACAAGGAAGATGTGGGCCGAATAAAGTTCAGGGTCAAGGATGACGCCACAGAATCCAGCGCAAATTGCTAACTAGAGCTTGGGGAGAAGGAAAGATGGGTCAGAGATAGAGCCGAGACCCGGGAGGCTTATGAGCTAGAAAATAAAGATCTTGGAGGATCTTCCTAAAGGGGTTGGCTTTACAACTAGAAGTTGTAAGTTTACAACTGACTTTACAACTAGAAGACACACTCCCGGAGTTCAGGGAAGCTTGAGAATTAAAGTGAACCCAGGCACAGATGAACGAGGTGAGGTTTTCTTTATTCTTGAGGTCAGTCGCCTCCATTGTGTTTTTGATTTGCCCAGCTGTCCACCCACCAGGAGGACCAGGTGACAAAGATAGCCCATCTCCTTCAGAGGCCATCTTGCCTGCTGATCAAGGGCAGGGACTTTGGCCCACGACGCTGCCCAGGCTCTGTGGCTCCCTGGCTCTGTGTCACTGAACATGCACACTGGCTGCACCACACTGAGCCCTGTGCCTCGTCTGTAAAGGCAGGGGTGAGAAGAAAGGACTGTTATTGAGATGAAATGAGATAGTAGAGGCAAAGCTCCTAGCAGTATGGCACCTAGAATGCTTCCCAAGCCTCACAGGCACTTTTCTGTGGGTGTTTTACCACCTCTAAAATCAGGAAGTACAGCATTTTTTTTCACAGTTGTATGTAAAATGATGGTGTATGATTCAATTTATGGTGTCTTAAATTTGATGAAATAGGGAAGTAGACATCCAGTAAAAGGCAGTTGCGGTGTTTTGTGGTTATTCTACCTGTGCTAGATTCATGGTTCCGTCAATGTCTAAAGGTTTCATTCTTGACTCTAGCTGGCTGAGCCTTTTCCCTGGGGGACAGGAGCCTGGGTCCTGGCGTCAGCCCCACTGAGGGTTAGTCTTGACTTGGCTACTAATCACAGTGAGACCAGGGTCATGTGACATCACCTCTATGAACCTTGGTGTCCTCTCCTCTATAAGGGGGATAACAGTATTACGCACCCTCCTAGATTTATGTGAGGATTAAATGGCACAGAGTTCTGTAAAGTGCTTAGCACAGTACTACAGTTGTATATACATTGAATAATGATGATGACAAGAGTAATAATTAAATGGTACATTGACTTAGATAACAAGATCACATTTTCTAAAAAGTGTTATTATTCCTGAGATACCTGGGGAGCCCCACCACAAAACAGCCAGCTCGGACTCTGGGTGGGCAGGGATCTCAGAACCCAAATCAGCCCTCCTGTTCTGTGATGGTGGGTATCTAGGACTGCAGCCTGAGACCTTGAACCATCTCCCCCACTGCCATCCTTCTTCCTGAGCCAGCTTTCCGTCTCTCCAGCACTCCCCTCCTTAGGACTTTGGCATCTCTGGACACATTTGTTTAGGAACTGTTTCCCTTGGAAAAGAGGGCACCGTCATCTCCCTTGGAAAAGACCACCACAGATCCTGGCTGGGGTTTCTCAAGCAATTAATAACCCAAGAGCTCCCCAACGAGGCTCTTCTCTGTCCTGTCATCCTCCTGTCTTGTCTTGCACACTTGCTTACTTCGCCCAGCTATCTGCTTCTGTCCCTCAACCTGCAGTAGCCTACAAGTGCCTTTTACCCCTCCCTAATGAGACTGGCTTATCAGAATCAGTCAAGGTCTACATTTATCACATCAATAACTCATACACCAGAACCTCCCCGTATCTCCAATCTCCCTGGTGTTTCCCATCCAGATTCTCTATTCCTATCCAATTCTTTATGGGTCTGGGCCTGGGTGGCCCAGTTGGTTAAGTATGTGACTTCAGCTCAGGTCATGCTCTTGTGGTTTGTGGGTTTGAGCCCTGCGTCAGGCTCTGCACTGGCAGCTCAGAGCCTGGAGCCTGCTTCGGATTCTGTGTCTCCCTCTCTCTCTCTGCCCCTCCCCAGTTTCTGCTCTCTCTCTCTCTCTCTCAAAAATAAATAAATAAACTTTACAAAATTTAAAAGAAACAAACAAAGTTCTCCATGGTTCTGAAAACATTGCCCAGACTTCCTCTGCAAGCGCTATAAACAGGTTTTCCTCCGGGGAGGCTGCCCAGAGAGTCTCTGCCAGTTCCTTTCTTCACCCCTGATATTTCTCCTCACATCATGAGGACAGAAGCCGGAACTAATGACTCTTCCCCAGACTGGCTCCCTGGCAAGCCTTTCTCTTCTGAGGGGACACCCGCTCCTGCAGTCTGCCTTGCTGTACCTTTAATAACTGGCCTGCCTCGTTGCATCCATCCCAGGGGCAGGAATACCCAGACTTTTATGTACGGCTCTGCCAGTGGAAATTCCAGTGTAACCTGAGTGATTCTAGGATGGCATTTGATGAAAATTCTTTTTTTTTCTTCTTAATAATAGGGGTTTTTTTTTAATGTTTATTTTTGAGAGAGAGAAAGACAGTATGAGCAGGGGAGGTGTGGAGAGGGGGACAGAGGATCTGAAAAGCAGGCTCTGTGCATACAGACAGCAGCAAGCCTAACGTGGGGCTCGAACTCATGAACCATGAGATCGTGACCTGAGCCATGATCAAGAGTTGGACACTTAACCAACTGAGCCACCCAGGCGCCCCAGTGAAAGTTCTTTATCTTTTTAAATGTTTTTTAATGTTTATTTATTTTTGAGACAGAGAGAGACAAAGCATGAACGGGGGAGGGTCAGAGAGAGGGAGACACAGAATCTGAAACAGGCTCCAGGCTCTGAGCTGTCAGCACAGAGCCCGACACGGGGCTCGAACTCATGGACCGCGAGATCATGACCTGAGCCGAAGTCGGCTGCTCAGCCGACTGAGCCACCCAGGCGCCCCGGAAATTCTTTATCTTTAACAGCCACTGGTTTCCCCTCCAGGTCCAGTTATCATGGAATCAGACCTGGAACAGCAGCAGGGGCCCTGTGGATGCTCCTGGGGGAAGCTGTGGAATTAGGACTTTTTTGCTGGATTTGCAACACAACAGAATGGCTCTCATGGTCTTAGGAGCAGGTCAAAAAAGTCCCAGCCTCTCCAAATGTGTTTCTGCTCACTTAGAAATCTTAAGGGCGTAGTGCAGTGTGCTGGCTGGGTTGGGGTGTAAGGTTTCACACAAGCAGCCGTAGTGTGGCATCGCTGAATCTAGTCCCATCGAGACTAGAAAGCACGGCCCCCTACACGAGATTCCCCACAATGATTTATTTATCTGTCTGTCTATCTGCCCATCTGTATATTGTCAGACATATCCCCATCCCCAAAATGCGGCATTTAAGCCAGCATATGGAAGACAGTGTGGCATCAGAAAGATGTCCAGACTGTAACAAGATGAGCCAAACTCAAGCCAGGCAAAGGAAGAAAGCAAAGAAAGGCTGGGCACCTGGCGGTCCCTCCGAGCAGTAGATAGAAAGGAGTGGGCTTTCTCCCTTGCTACATGTCCACACTGCAGAGGTTTTCTTCCGGGGGGATATGAAAGATCAAAGTGCCTTGTACGGCCAGGCTTTGGAACCTGGGGCCACATTCCTCCCGGCCCTCCAGGGCTGGCTCTTGCCTGTTCATACACTGCCCTGTTTGTGCCCACAAAGGATGGAGGAGGCACCCTGGCTGGTCTCATGGTGGCTGCCTGTGCATAGCCCTCTGGGCAAGCAGCTCTTCCCCTTTCCCAACCTTCCCATCCTGGCTCTCCCCTCTGGCCCCGCTCCCATGCAGTAGGATGCCACAGAGGTCCTGCCCTTACTCACAAAGGCAGGTCTGTCTGGAGCTGAGCAGGGCAGGCCCTCAGGGGAGGGCCTGGGCTCCACTCTTCTCTCCTTAAGGAAACAGACAGGTCCAGTCCAGTGAGTTGGGGAGAGGGTGTTGCCCTTGTTAAGTATCTCCTCACAGGCTCAGGCAGAGAGGCGAGGTGACTGTGTGACAGGAGAGTGCTCTGCTCGGGGCACCTGTGTTATGGGGCTGCGTAAGAGGGCCAGGTCACCTCCCGAATCAAATCAGATTAAACCAATCGGGATGCCACGAGCTGTCACCCAGTCCTTTGCCCCCGCATCAGTCAAAATGGCTTCTCTTTGAAACCCGCTTCTGTAACCTAGTTAATACATGTGAGGTGTGGTCACTCACTGCTCTGCCTTTGACATCTCTCAAACATTGTGATTTGTCGTGTGACCTTGAAGTTCACTGCCCTGGTTGTCACTGTCCCCATTCACTTAATATGGAGTGACCTTCATTACGTATAAGGGACCTGACAAAACCCAGTGAGGGAATAAAGGTGGAGTCATGGTCAAAGGCATGGGCTCCTAGGTCAGAATTCCTGGATTTAAATCCAGAAAGTTAGCCTGTACAGTGAGACCAGGGATAGTGTCCCCCCCCACCCCCACCCCCGTTCTTGTTACAAAGATGCAACAAGGTGGGGCACCTGGGTGGCTCAGTTGGTTAAGCGTCTGACTCTTGGTTTCGGCTCAGATCATGATCTCACAGTTCATTAGATCGAGCCCCGTATGGGGCTCTGCGCTGGCAGCACAAAGTCTGCTTGGGATTCTTTCTCTGCCTCTCTTTCTCTCTCTCTCTCTCAAAGTAAATTTAAAAAATAAATTAAAAAACTTTTTTTTAAAGGGTGAAGCACATGACTCCTGTTGCCTGTAAAGCATCTGGTAGGTTTAGCTATTATTTTTGTTATGATTTTTCAGAACAAATAAGACCAACTCCCTGTCCTTGATGGAGGGTGGGAAGTGAAATTGTAAATGAGACTGACTGCGGTAAATGCCGTGGTGGGGGGTGAAGGCCTGAGGGAGAAGGGGCCGTGGAGGATTTGGTGGAAGCAGTGGGAGCTCAACCAGAAGAACACATAGGCTTCATGCATATGGACACGGGATCCCAGGATAGCTTGAACAGAGACCCAGGCATGGGGAGTGGAGGTGGCCTTTTCCCCACAGGAGGACAGGTTCTGCTGGGCAGGGGGATGTGTAGGACTCACAGGGTCCCTGCACACTCATGTGGAGTCAGATCACAGAGGACCTCCGTGCCATTCTGAAGAGTTTGCACTCTTCTCTGCGAGCCCTGGGGAGCCAGTGGAGATTTCCGAGAAGGGAATTTGGAAGATGCTTTCGGTAACAACTTATAGGAAAATGGCAGTGCTGGGAGAGGGCAGGGCAGAGGCAGAGCGGAGGCCAAGGAGCACGGTGCTCTGTGTTTCCCTCCCTGAAACGTTCATCAGTCTTCAAGTCATTGCTTAATGCTCATCTTCTTTACTAAACTGTAAGCTAGTCAAGGGCAGGGGCCATATGCTTCCTGTGCAGTGTCATATCCTCAGCACAGTTCCTGGTGCTCTGTAAAGAGTTGCTGAATTGAAATAGAAGGTCCTAAACTAGAGCTCTGAGTAGAAGGCAGATGATGGGTCCAAAACCACGTGGGGAGGACAATGAGGAGGATTTGGCAGATGATGGGAACTTAGCAAAGGGATCATCAGATGATGACTCAGAGTGTGCAGGAAGGAGACAGGGATGGAGCGCTGTTTACCGACAGAGTGGATGTAACCAGGAGAATCCCATTGTGCAGAGCAGACATGAGCTAGCTACCTATGGTGTGTGCTACGTCTGAAGTAAGAGTCGCCCATCGGTAGGGAGCTGAGGGTAGGGCCCGCAGTGACAGTAGGGCTCTGCAGAGGGGCCAGAGTTGGGGGCAGATGCAGGAGAGGAGTGAGGTGGGATCTTCAAGGGAGAATAACCCGGAGCCTGAGGAGAGAAGTGAACAGAGGCGGGGGATGCCCCGCGGTCTCCAACATCTGCAATGTAAGACCCTTCTCTCAGAGAAGCCACAGGAGGCAGGCCCAAAGGTACAGGATCACGGCATCCAAGGGGGAGGCTGGCACTGGTCCACACTGTGCACGACTACGGAGGTTAAGCAGATGGAAAATGGAAGACAGAGCTTCAGGATTGGTCTCCTGCCTCCAAGCTTTGTTGTTCCAGTCTCTTTTTCTGCTGCCTCTGAAGCCTTTCTTCTAACAGAGGACCTGCGTGTGCCAGTGCTTCCGTTATCAGAAACCTTCCGTTGCTTCCCATTGCCCAAAGTCCTTTGCAAAGCATTTCCGTGACCCCAGATCTGGTCTGAAAAGCCCCACCTCCTACTTTAGCCTTCCCCATCTCATCGGTCTGGGGCTCTCCCTCTCCTTGTTGCATACCAAGTATTCTCGGGCCTTCATGGTTAGTGTATGCTGTTCCCCAGCCTGGAATGCCCTTCCCTTCCACTTGCTGCTAATGACAACTCTTCTTATCCTTCAATGCCTCTATCAAATGTTACCTCTCCATTGCAAAGTGTTCTGTGATATCTCCAGTAAATAAGGTCTTTCCTCCCTTCAAGGACCCATGCAGTGTTTTGCCTAGCAATCATTTCATTCTTTCTAAGTTTCCATGGAGTTGTTGGCTTGTCTCTCTCCTCCCCTAGCTTATGTATGAAAGCAAAGAACACATTGTATCTTTGAATCACCCACAGCATGAGCTCTTGTGCGGGAAGGCAGTCAACCAGTACCAGCCAAGCATCTGAAGAGAGAAATGCCTAAGAGCAGTAGATGCTGGCAGTTCCAGCACCCCCAGTTATTTCTTTGGAAATTGTGGGGTGCCTCATAGTTATTTGTCTTTAGGGGTTTGCCCTATAATTAATGCCTTGGCCCAGTGGTGGGTTGCCTTATAATCATACGTGTTCCCCATGATCTCTCGAGCCATTTTGATATTGAGGATACACTGTTGCACATACACTAATATTTTCTAGAGCGTTTCCCATAGTTAGACAAAATGGAAAAACTTGGTCTGGCCATCAGAAGTGCTTTATCATTCATAAGTGCTCTCCTTGACGGCAGGTTAGAGAAATCCCTACACAATCCCGTCGGGATCATAAATGTATCTCACGGGCCTTGAATTAGGAGGGTAAAGTTTCCCAACACTCGATTTACAGACTCAAAAAGCATCTGTTCACTCAATCTTCTACCCTCTTCTTTTGCCCCTCCAAATAGGCACTGACAGTATTTAGATGAAGTGAATATACTGATTTATTTCTCACCCACTTGCTGTCTGCAAGGAAAACATGTATTCAATAAATATATTCAGCAAGGTTCAGTGAGCACCTACTATGTGGCAACAGTGTGTCTGTGTTAACAGTGTACAATATACAACTCAGGTCATTTCTTTCTGTGGTCTGTGTTTTAGGAGTTAGATAATTTCTGTTTTGTTATAGAACACTGAGAGCAGTTTAAGGTCGATGTAGACAGTAATCCTTTTTTTTTTTTTTTTTTTTTTTTTCTGGTTTTTTTTTTTTTTTTATATAAAAATTTTAGAATTTTTAGGTTTTTATATATATTAATCCTTTTTTTTTTTTTTTTTTTTTTTTGCCTGCTTTGTTTTTATTTTAGGATAGACATTTATAAAACACAGCTGGCTAAATGCTAAATGCAGCTGTGAACAACGTAATTTAAATATATCTCTAATCCAACAAACCTGGCTTTTGGCAAGGAAGGGGGAAAAAAGTTAATTGCTTTTTAACACTTTAGTCTTACAAAGAGGAAAAGGGTAATATAGCCAGAGGGTATGTTCAGTGATTTTTTTTTTTTTTTTTTTTTAAGTTAAGTTCATGTTACTGGGATCCTGCAGTGTAGGCTGGGAGGGAGTCTTCCAAAGCACTGAACTTCGGAGAAAACTCTTCCTCTATCTTTATAATAATAGTAATCACCATTTTATGAGCATTCCTTCTAGGCTGGGCACATACTTAAGAGAGCTTTACCTGGTTTACTTCGTTGTATCCTCCAGGGGATGTGCCATTTACACACCAAGTAACTAAGGCTCAGAAAAATGGACTTACCCGGAGTCACATATCTGGTTAGGGGTAGGATTGGAACTTATGCCTGGCTGCGTAACGTCAGGGCCCACACTGTAGCCACGACTGGGATTTTTCTTAATCTACCTGCATTGAGACACAACTGCACCGGAAACATGCTTGAGAGGTGAGACCGGGAAAACGGAGGGTATGGTAACTGACATCGCCTTTGCTTGAATTCTGAAGGACAGATGCAAGAAATATGCTAGTTGGCCTACCCCCAAAAACCCCAAGATAGGTATCTTTCTCTCTTTGTATTTCAATATGTAATTCTCTTCTTTCTTTGATAAGTAATATAGGTATGCGTAAAGGTTTTTTGGAAGGAAGTTCAAGACGGCATTATTAATATGGGTTCCACAAACTGAATATGCAATAATATAGGGCTCATTAAATAAATTATAGGGGAATGCACTGCCACCGTTAAGAATTCTATTTTAAAAGAATATAAAATGCAACGGAGAATGCCCATGATATATTGCCAAGTGGAAAAGTAAGTTAAAAGCCTCTAAGTATTGTATGATCCCATTTTTGTTTTACACACATACTATCTATATGCATAGATAGGGACAGACAGAAACAGACATGCATAAATACAGGAAAAGGACTAGAAGGACATCACTATTACCAATATTTTAATAATGATTTTCTCTGGATAATGGGTAAATTTTTTTCCGGTATTGCTTACATTTCCTATAATGAAATATATTAATGATGTAAAAGTAATTTTTAAGTAACTTATTAACCCAATAATTTCAGTAAATAAATTATTTTTGAGTATTCACTGTGCACCAGGCACTATGTATTCCAAACATTAAAAGAGAATTATAGGGATGCCTGGGTGGCTCAGTCAGTTAAGCGTTCCACTTCGGCTCAGGTCACGATCTCGCGATTCGTGGGTTTGAGCCCTGCCTTGGGCTCTGTGCTGACAGCTCAGAGCCTGGAGCCTGCTTCAGATTCTGTGTCTCCCTCTCTCTCTGCCTCTCCCCTGCTCACGTTCTCTCTCTCTCTCTGTCTCCCTCTCTCTCAAAAATAAATAAACATTAAAACAAATTTAAAAAGAAATAATAACAAAAGAGAAAATCTACTCATATCCCTGCTTCACTAACATTTTGGATGATCTCCTTCAGGTCTTTTTCAATGGACTTTTTTATTGTGTTTTTTTTTTTTTTTTTAAGTTTATTTATTTATTGACGGGGTGGGGGGGAGAGATAATCACAAGCAGGATTTGCACTGTTAGGGCAGAGCCCTCACCAGAGGGCTCAGACTCACAAACTGTGAGATCATGACCTCAGCCAAAATCAAGAGTCAGATGCTTAACCCACTGAGCCACCCGGGCACCCCTCAATGCAATTAAAAAAATTTTTTTTCTTTAACATTTATTTATTATTAAGAGACAGAGAGATACAGAGCGTGAGCAGGGGAAGGGTAGAGAGAGTGGGAGACACAGAATCTGAAGCAGTCTCCAGGCTCTGAGCTGTCAGCACAGAGCCCAGTGCGGGTTCGAACTCACGAACTGCAAGATCATGACCTGAGCTGAAGTCGGTCGCTTAACCAACTGAGCCACCCAGGCGCCCCTCAATGCAATTTTTAAAACAGAGTAGTCACAAGGCAGACAGCTCCTGAGCCCTGGTCATTAGGAGTTCATTCAGCCAATAGGAGTCAACCAGCCTGAGAACCCTGACTTTGCCACTTGTACTCCGACCTCACTTCCCCCTAAACCTTATCTCCATTCTCAGCAAAAAGGATCAAGAGTGGTACCTACCTCATCAGTCTTTTGGAGGATTAAATGAGTTGCTACAAGTAAAGTGCCTTGAAGTACACACCAGATAATAACTACTATTGTTACTCTCTGTTGAATGTCTCCATTGCCATTCTGTTTTGTTTCTCATCTACTTTCTTCCAAAGAGTAAAAATAGTTATGTTTTTCCTGGACAGAAGAGACCCCTATTGAAGTCATTCAGGCATATAAAGTCACCTTTGAATTTTGCATGTAGGTGAGATCGCTCGGTCAAAGCCATTTGGCTTCCTATCCAAGGCAAAGCTGTAAAGGACAGAGAGAGCTGCCATGGTGTACAGGAGCGTTTATACCTTTCAGAAAGTTGTGGGAGCCACGGTTGAACAAAGACCTACTTAATTGGGTTTGGAAACCTAATATATATGGCTAGTGACAGACAATAGGATATCTAAACTCTACTGCTTATGTTGACTACCTCTTGCCTTTGGGGCCTAGTGTTCTATTGTGTCTTATGAGCGTGGGATACTGTCTTATGACTCTTCGTAAGGAGACTGTCCAGTGGCAGGCTCTTCCAAGAAGTTTCTAGCTGTGGCACTGCCTTGCTCCAGACTAGCCACCATCATCTCCTTCCTGCATGATTCTGGGGCCTCCTACCTCACGCCCTGCTGTTTATCCTGCCCCTCTTAAGATCAGCTCTCCACCCAGGACCCAATAAGAGTCTTAAAAGTCAATCATTGCATGTCACCCCCCAATTCTAATCCCCGGTGGCTTTCCACTGCCCTCAGAAAAAAAGTCCCAACTTTCTGCATGATTCCACATGTCTGCATAATCTGTTCTTTGCATACTTCTCCACTTTGACCATTTCCCCCTGTCCATGATGCTTGAAGTATCCTGGCCTTCTGCTGGATTCTAGAACACACCAAGCACTTGTTCACCTCAGGGCCTTACCCCATTTTCTTCCTTCCACAAAGAAGAATATTCTTCACTTTGCTCTTTGCATGCATGGCACCCCTCATTCTTTTGGTCTTCTCTTCTGCGTCACCACCTTAGAGAGGCTTTCCCTGTCTACCTAATTTGTAACAGCTTCTCTTGTTCCGGTGCCTTGTATGTCCCTTTTATAGCGTAGATCTTAACAAATTTCTACTTATTTCGTTTGTTTATTTGTTGGCTTATTTGGTGTGTGTTTACATACTCCGTCTGTCTATCCCCGGTCTTCCCTACCCTGTTAGAATGTAAGCGCCCCAAGGGTAGAACCGGATCTTTCGCTTTGTTGTTGTGTTCTCTGGCAGAGCCCCTCATGGAGAAGGTGCCCGTTGAAGATGAAAGGAACGGAGGGAGAGAGGGAGGAAGGAAGTCTCCGAAAAGGGGGCTGCTTTTCCAGGCAGCCCAGTTTCCCGTGAATGTGGGCAGTGTGTCCTGTTCAGCCCTAGCATTACTGTGCAAGTTTAAAAATAAAACCCCTGGGTGGAGTGAGAAGCCTTTAAAGAGGATGGGGGAGAGATAATGAGAAACATGAGTAGCCAACGCAGGCCCAGCAGGATGTGGGACTGGCCAGGAAGAGAAAGGGACCTTGACTCCGGGGAAACACTGACTTTGGGGCTGTAATAGTCTGGCGAATGTAGGACTCCTAATTAGTCACCAGAGGTCTTTCTCTTGATCTCCAGTATAAAAAGACTTTAAAGTGGCCAACTCAGGATATGCTTCCATCCTACAACAAGACATGTTGAGAGATTTTCGACAAGACGTTCTTTACAGTTGCTAAAACGGGGGCCTCCACACCCCGCATCTGACTGCCTCTCCAGTAGAAGAAGGAAAGGCCAGGAGGTAACAGAGGCGATGAAGCCAGCTTTGGCTCACCCTCCCCCTGACCTTCCCCAGGGCCCATCCCAGCGTGGGATCTGAACCTCCCACCATAATAGGGCTCCCGCCAGACATCCTAAGGTGTATCCGCCCTCCAAAGTCTTAGCTCAGTTTTGGGGCAGCGTAAGGCGGGGAGGGTCAGGTCAATGGGTCACTAGAGACAACTCGGACATCGCCTTGGAAACGCTCTCCCCCCACGTGCACTGCCTACAGTTGGATCCACCCTGAACCAGCTGTGTGTTAAATCCTCGGGCCTTAGTGGGAGGTGGGGAGGCATCTGGGGAAGGTCAGAGTGGGTCAGGAAGGGGTCCACCTCTTTTAAGGAAGACCATCAATCTTCAGGCCTTCGTGAGAAGTCTGACGACCCAGGGGAACAGCAGGCTAAAAATCCATAATCTCGGCCTGGTCCCTGTGGTGCAAGGATGGGCCGAGCTGAGTGTGGGGGCTGCCAACATCCCCTCCTTCAGACTGTGGCCTGGACCCCTTCCCATAATCCATCTCTCTATGCTGCTCCAGCAGCCAAGTGATGCGCTCATGGTCACCTGGTGCAAGCAAATATTTGCAAGCCTTTACAACATGGATCACCACTGGGTTTTTTCCATATCCACAGCTATGTGATGGTCGAGAGGGCCACAGAGGAACGGGTATGGAGAGAGACAGCTGGAGCTTTGCACACCATGCTTAACCTCCAAGCCACTCTCCAGAGGCAGCTCTTGTAGAGAAGGAACCCAAAGTCTAAAAAGGACCCGTTCCGTACCCAAGGTCACTCCGGAGGGAGGGGCAGAGTACTGGATGGCCCGAATGCGAGATCCAGTGCAGGCCAGCCTCCTGCAGAGTGTCCCTTTCATCCCTGTAGTTGATTTTCAAATGATTTAAGCTCAAAGCCCCGGGCCAGGGCCCTTGAGCAGCATTTCTGAGTCGTCTGTGCCCTGAGAAACCCCGTGCCTGTCTGTGCGTGGGAATCCCAAAGCCCTTTTGTGGATTGAGCAGAAGGAGCCTGCTGGGGTTGACTCCTTCTTTAATTGTTTGTTGGAAACGCCCTCAGCCTAAAACTGCTGAACAAATGGCCTGTGTCTGTTCCATGCTTCAGCTCTGTAAGGGGTCTGTTGCTTTCTCGGCTAGTTCTAGTTTCCTGACCTGAGGCTTTTAAGTGCTGAGAAAGCACAGGGTGATAATTGCCCCTTGCGACAAAAAAAAAAGCTGATGGAGGAACAGCAGGACAGCAGGTGACCACCTTCATGCCCCAGGACCATTTTTTAACATCAAATACATTCTTATGAAGGCTTCCAGAAAAGCGTTAGCCAGACTGCAAACC